AAATGTATTGCCCGCCCCCCTCTGCCAATCTGGGAATGGAGAACGTTTATTTCTTGATATGTCAAGTGTTTATAAAACAGTTGACATTGTATAATTTATGACTCTTCATGTTCCACCTCATTGCTTTTGAAATCTTACTGATTTCAAAAATACAGTAGTATAACTGGATTTGATTTCTGTCTATAAAATACTAGAGGTAGAGATTTTACATTTCATCACTTTGTATATATGATATCTTGCTCTATTGCCATATGTGCACAAGCCAAATTCTAATAGTTTTCACGTTCTAACATAATTTTGCTGATATCAGTGGGCAAAATATAACATTTCCCTTCAGTTCTACTGAGACAAATATACATGGGAATTTCCTTTTGCATGCTGATAGCATTCCTTTCTTTTTAGAAGGAAAGGAGATGATCTCATTTATATGTACCCTTAAGGAGTGATGATGAGAAATAAAGGATATCATGTAAGTACTTGTAAGTGCAAATCTCTTATTGAATAATTAAGTGCATAACAAAGGTTAGATTTTAATGGGCTAAGCATTTTCTCCCATGAAAAATCATCACCCCATGTGCTTTATAATTTATGGAATGTGAAATGTGTCATGTTTTAAAGTAGAAAGATACTATTTTAATGATTTTTGCAGCTATTTTGCCACCAATTGAAAAGTAGCTACATAGACAAAATGTTAATCTGACCAAAGGCTCTATCCCTAATTCTTTATTTGGTTCATGTTACTGTCACTGACAATTTTTCCTTCTTGTAACCAATTCAAAGCTGATCTAATATAGTACAGCAGACTTGGATGAAATCATATTTTTCATTAAAGAATATCATTCTATACTGTGTTTTAATTTTTCCAGCCAAATTCCACTTTTCTTAGCTTCACAATCACAAAGTAATTCTATAAATGTTTATTTGGAGCATAGTGATACTGAATTTAATATTGCCACAGTTAATAACTGTGTTTAGAATTGCATCCTAAAACAAAGAGTTGCAAAAAGCAATAAAAGAGAAACACTTTAACATTCTGATTAATATTTCTTACATGGTCAGAATTTTTTCTATGGGAAGGTGTTTTTTTTTTTACAGTGCTTTTAAATGTGTTCAAACGGTGGTTGGTTTATTTCTCCTGGGTGGACTCTTTTTGAATTAGTTCATAATTAAATTATTGTTCACTTCCATCTCAAAAACAAGTCAGGCACAGAAAGTCAAACTGCCACTCTGTAACCAGGTTTTCAATAGCAATAACCATATACAAATGCCACGTCAAAACTGAGAAACTCCTATACTGGCTCATTTATTAAGGCTGTAATCCTCTATATACCTATCTAAGACTCACTAAACTCTATGGAACTTCTTTTAGATTAAATGTGATTAGCATCATGCTGTAACTATATGGATCAGAAATGTTGAATCCTGTCCATGCAGCCCGTTACAAGTTACTTCTAGTGTCTCATTTCATTTATCAGTAATTGCAAGTGCTTTTAAAAATCACTGCTACTCTGGTTCAGTGATCAATTTAAAAAGTAATAATGAACTCAGCATTCACACTGAAATGTATGTGAGATTCCATCATACGTACATGATTGCTAATTGAGGGGGGCTTTTTGTTTTGTTTTTAAGAAGCAAAGCAAAATCTTGGAAATCAAGCAATGCTAAGATGCTCAGCAACATTAACCCTTAAATCTGACATTTGTTTAAATAATAAGGACTAGAGGTCTGCACTTTGATCCTCAGGAACATTTGAATGCAAATACTATCAAGGTACCAGAGTGTATCAATAAAGCTACATTAAAGCTTATGAAGAGGTGGCAAATGTTTGAACGGTTCCTCCAATTTAAGAAATGAACATTGCTAAATAAAAAAGTATGTCTTTATCTTCATGTCTAGAGGCTTGACAATGAAGTTGAACATCCATTGTGTTTACATTGTGAAATGTAAAGTTTAAGAAGCATAGAGTTAGATTTGATGCTGATCTAATCTGGCAAAAAAATCCTCTAATAATTAGTTATGGGGACAAATATTCAGTACTTCTTCTGTGGTCTTGCTTGCAGTCAATAGTTTCTTAATTTGATCATATGCATGTATGTGCACATTGCTTTTTCTTTCTTTAAAGACCAATGCTCATCACATTAGGTTATATAGCCATGCAGGTGAGAGATTATAATCTGTATCATATATTTTCCTGAATTACTGTTGCAACATGACTGGAGTTCCAGCAGTTCCGTAGATCAATAAAATACACTACAGAACGTGTGTGATGGTATATTTTTGATAAACCAGTGAGACATTACAATGCAATGACATTTGCATTAGAGGTTTTACGTTGTTACCAGAATTTTATCTCAATTGTATTATTTTCTATTTTCATACTTTAAATGGGCTTTGCTTACTACAAAATGTCATACCTGAAACAAAATGTACTGTACAAAACTGCAGATAGATTCATTTGACAAAACTTTCTAAAGGATCCTTAGTTTCTTGTTGTCTTTTTTTGGAACTGTAGTGCTTATGTTGAAACTTGTATATCATTTACAGTACTGTGTCTTGTGCCACTGCTGTACCTGATGTATCCAATCTGGATTAAATGGATTACGTGCCACAAAGCATTCAACTCTTGCTGTAGACTTTTTTAACTGATGTCATCTATTTGATTAAATAATCTGCTGTACTCCAAGACAAGATATATCACAGTCATAACTTTGCCAGATATAACCAAAAATCCATTTAGTTTAGCATACTGCTTCCAACATAGACAATTATAACGTTCCAGGAAATCTATAGCAGAGCCTGAAAGCAATAAGTGGTGTTCAATGGCATTCTGTAGGTAGAGGCACCATTCAGTTGTTACATCTGATAAATTTTGATAAATCAATCTTGTTTAACCCCATCCTAAAGTCATCTTCTAGCAATGAATTCTACAAACTGAAAACACTTTACATGAAATATATTTATCACCGTTAGATACCCATCACTTAATGCCCATCAGCATTTTGGGTTATTGAATTCTAGCATTATGAACATTACAGAAAAGCTCTTGATCTTTTCCTACATCATGCATTGTACAAAGCTGTGCCTGATTCTTCACAAGTTATATGGACTTCAGTGTGGCTTACTCCTAAGTCAGTATGGCATTACTCTTAACTCTCAGTAGAGTGTGATAGAACATAGTCCTTGAAGATAGCAAATAAGCTTGCAGTCTTGTCTTTTCCCAAAAAACTATATATAATTATGGATATGGAAGAGAACAGGAACTGATAAAGGGAATTATATCATGGTTACAATAGTTACACAGTGAAAATGGATTCTGCTTTTCTGGCACAAAGGGTTCTATTTTAACTGTTTCCCATATTGTGCTGAAATTACAAAAGCTGCAAGAACAGTAAAACAGTAAATTTTATTCGTTTAACTCTCAATGCTCAATACTGTATGCATTGTATCTCGATACAATAAGCATGGTACTCCATGCACATAGATAGCCATGACAAAAACTATTCATCATGGTCACTTCTGTAAAACGACAGACAGCAGAAAATCAGACCCTTACATAGGAAAATTGTGCAAAAATATGAGCTCTAACTTCACCACTAATTGCATTAACTAAAAGCACAGGGATGAAAAGGCTATAGCAACATTTCAGATTCTATACAGGTTGAAAAAGAATAGGGAGACAAGATTCTCTGGGTATCAGAACATATACATTCACCCGACTCAGCCCCCATTATGGGATGCTAGATAGGATATAAAGCAACTGAAACAAAGCAGGGCAATTCATTTTGGAGTTAATTGATAATTTTACTTCTAATTAAAGTTTTTGCTTATTATTATATCTAATATGTGTATCTGGTCAAGTTATAGGTTTTTTTCATAGGTTTTTAATATAGTTACAAATATTTCCTGACATGATTAACTTAATCTAAATATGGAAGTACTACTTAATTAAATTTCATTTAAATCAGCAACATGCATTAATTGAGATACATCTATTTATGCCACTTCTAAATAAGAGGCAGCATTATATATAGCTCAATAGGGACAATATCAATGACTCAGAAGCCACGACAATAGACAACAGGAAAAAAAAATGTTATGCTTCTTCATTAGTACTATTTTGAAAACTAGGGCCAATGTAGTAGAGTGACTAGATCTGCTAAAAGTTCACTGAATGAACTTGAATCACACACTATCTCAGGTTAAATCAATGTATAATTTCTTTAAGAGTAAAACTGGAGATGTCAATACAAGTATTGTTGTGACAAATAAGAAAAATAAGTTAAATATATTAATGTAGAGGCTTTTTTTTTTAGAAAGGGTAAAAATTGATATTTCATGTGGTTTTCAGCAACAGAGAATGAACAGGACTATACATAAGCAGAGTGTCAATAGCACCACCTACTGAACATTGTAGTGAGAGGGATCTTCAATGTTTTATCAGAGTCTAGATCATACATAACAGCTACATCTTATCTGAAAAGACTGCTTTCTAAAGTCCTTTAAATGGTTTGAGAACATTATAAAGTTTAGACTAAACCTTCAAAAAACCCACTAGAAGTGGCCCTGCTGCCCCTGCTATCTTCTTCTAAACATTTAAGGATAGCAAGTTGGAGAAACTCAGAGGAAGAAAAAAACAGCATTCTAGTCTATGGAACTCTAGAAGCAATCAAAACACTATTCAAACAATGAAATTTTTTGCAGGATAGGAATATGTCTTTTGAGAAAACAGACTATCTTCCATACTTTTTGGAAGAGCGCACTGATTTTATCTAAATGTCTGAAGAAAAATACAAGAAATTGGTCTGTTTAAGAGACAGACTATCCCAAGAATAAGCATGTCAACCTTAAACAAACACAACACTAACTATAAGTACAGCAGAACACCATTATATTTCCAGTGCCTATCTCAAAATAAAGGAGGGGAGTAGGAACAATATGTGACAATGGCTAACATTAACAGGTGGATTCTAATACATAAAGACAACATTGCAGTAGCTATATAACAAACTTGTACCATTTATTAGCAAAATTATTTCACTGAAATGAATATAAAACGAGGCATATCAAATGAAAATTATATAAGGTACAAATAAGATACCTAAACATAAAATATAATTTAGGTATGAGGAGAGACTCACACTACTTTATTATTATCTATCTCTCTTCAACAACTCTTCCAGGTAGATTGCATTGGCATGATAAGCAGTCAGTGTGTTTAATGGCCTCTGGTATCTTTGATAGTATAAATAAGAAGCTTCCGTATAATGCCTCTGCCATGCCCGGTAATATCCTCTCCAATATTCCTCAGGACTTAGATTTTCATAGTGAGGAAAAGGAGCACGTTCGGTCTTGAAGGGGTGGATGGTGTGAGAATAGTGGTTACGACTGTTCAGTTTATTCTGTTTCACATTCTCTTTCATTTTCTTTTGGACCAGAAAAGCCTCTTGAAATTGCTTTTGTTTAAGGGCAGCACTGAACTGCTGATGAAGTATCTGATCTGTTGACAGTATACTGTTATCTCTTTCCTGCACATCTGAAGAGGCCTTGATACAGGATTGATTCTCTTGACTACACATGGATGATTCAGAACTACAAGAACTGCTATCATTATCAGATTCCCCAGTCAATGTCCCAGTTGATGTTGCAACATACTTACTGGATTCCATCCCGACTAAATCTAAAGAATTTAAGTGTTTATTTTGGTTTCTGGGATTTACATATGTTCTTATAATCTCTACATCTCTCTCCAATCCTTCCTTAATGAAATATTCATAATCATCAATAAATTCAACCATGCTCCATGTACAGACAGAATCCTGGTTCTTAAAAGAAGACAAGCAAGGGATTTTAGGAAGCATGTTCTTTAAACTTTCTTTGTCCACTTCTTCATTATTATGCACAGCAGTTTCACAATCAGTTTCCACTTGGTGTTTTTGCAATGGGATATTATCATGTGTATTTCTGTTTATCATTGTTTTCGCATGTTCTACTCTATTTTTAAGAAGCTTCTTTTGTTTGAGACCTTGTTTTGGCTTGGCTGCTGGAGAATTTTCACGAACAATGATCTGTGTACTAGCACTTATTGTTGGATGTTGCACTGTCCCTTCTGGCCTTTTAGCTGGCAACAGAGATGTATGAAGAGATGCATTGGGATATGGGACAGCAGTAACTTCTACATCCCCTCCTTTAAAATGTTCCAGCAGCCCCGGTGGCAAAGGTTCTCCAAAGAAAAGAAAAACAAAATCAGCCATGCATGACAATATCAGCTGTTAAGGGACATAATAGCATAACATAACTTCAATGTTTAAATTATTTAAAATCTGTGTTTTTATTTTTCAGGCTCTACTATCCTCCAGAATGAAGTAAAGAAAAGTGCTAAATTTAGGACCTGGAAACACAAAGCTTAAATGAAACATGTTTTGAATACAAATACAGTGGTACCTTGGGATACAAATGCCTCTACTAACGAACTTTTCGGGTTATGACCAGCTCCGGCCGCAAAAATTTACCTCGATGTGCAAACTCAGCCTCGAGAATGAAGTAAAGAAAAGTGCTAAATTTAGGACCTGGAAACACAAAGCTTAAATGAAACATGTTTTGAATACAAATACAGTGGTACCTTGGGATACAAATGCCTCTACTAACGAACTTTTCGGGTTATGACCAGCTCCGGCCGCAAAAATTTACCTCGATGTGCAAACTCAGCCTCGGGGTACGGTCATTTTTCCGCCCTGACACGTGGTCTGCGGCCATTTTTCCGCCCCTGACACGTGGTCCGCGACCATTTTCCTGCCGCGCAGCGCCCGGCCATTTTCCCGCCCCACGGCGCCCGGCCGTTTTCCTGCCCCGCCGCGCCCGGCCATTTTCCTGCCCCTGACGCGTGGTCCGCGGACGCCAGAACGGATTAACAGTAATTACA